TTTTTCATATTTTTATATTGCCTATATTACACTCGAAATTGCGCGAGTTTTACCAATATTTTCAAAGAAAAGCAAAAAGCACATTTCAAACATTTTATTTGAAAAAAACTTCATTAATGCTGTTGCATGAGGGAGTTCCAAAAAGTCAAACTTTTGCATTTTTTTAATAAGACATCTAAAAATCAAAATTGCTGCCATATTTGAGAAAGTATTTAAAATATCTCAGAGGATACATGTGAAGTACCCTCAAAATAAAAAAAAAATAAAAAGATTTCAAATCGCAGGGCATCAAGTCGGGTCAAATCGGTCGGCAAAAACTTATTTTCGAATAAAATCTACGTAAAGGTTAGGCGTTAGCGTTGTTCACAGACGGACGGACTGACAAACAGACTGTTGGACGTTACGAAGAAGAAACGTTTTTTGATATTAAGAAACCACAAAGTTTGGATCATTAATACACTACGTAAATAATTTACTACATATAGGAGCAAGAAAAATTCATGTTTTCAGGGGGGGGATCTAGACTTTCTGACGAAAAAAAAAATTGGCGAAGAATTTAATAACTTTCTCTTTGTAATCCGAGTACGAATATGAGAAAGTAAACATTAGAGCGTTGGCGCGTGGGTCAGGCCAGCGGGCGCGAAGACATGGCCACTGTTGCACCCACGGAGACAAAGATAAAATGGATATCTTATAGGATTACAAATGCCAAATATTTTTCTTTAAAGTCTAATATCTTTCAAATCCGTTTGATGCCTCCACAAATACGTTCAATGCGGTGTAACAACGAATAACGGCATCAGACACTCCGAACGACTAACGTACGAGTTCAGGGCAGCTTCAGTTAACTGACCTGGAACAAAAGTTTCACAGTTTAGTCAAAGTGTGTGTTTTAGTAATTTTGAATAAGATAGTAAATGTATCATATGCGAATATTCAAGATTTCGTAATCTCCCTATCTGCAATTTCTGTCTGCAAATGTCTAGAATCTAAAACCACCAGTTTAGAATGCGTGAACGTTTCAATTCGTAGACAATAAATAGGTGGTCTATATAGAACTAGTTCACAGACAAGTCTGTTATTACGAGTATATTAACTATCTTGTCACTCGCTATCAGTAGGGAAGCGGCGCAATTTAAGCCAATTGCACTAAAAGGGTCAAATTGCTCAAAGCAAGATTCGTAAAGTAAAGGTTTCAATCTATAATCTTATCTAAATTAATAATATTTTGAATAAAAATTTACGGAGCTGCGGCCATTGAAAAAGCGTCACTTTCCAAGGTTTTAACGAAAAAATGGCAATATTTGGACTATTGTTGGACACTGAGTCAAATAAGTAATGTTTGATGATCATAAAATTGTTGCGGGATAACGTAGACAGAATCTCAGCCAAAAAATCCGTTGATAAAAATACCATTACCAAATACAAATACCATAATATTTATTCGTTACTTTGTAAAAAGTAGCGAAAACATGATATTCAAATATTTATATGCTATCATTAAAAAAGTTGATCCAATCTTATTCTGTACTAAAGTGTTTCTTGAAACATTTGAACTCGGCCTTTTTATTCTTTTAACAACTTATTTGGTAATTGTATAAAGGGATTACAAAGACAGATTCTTCTCGTGTCATTTTTTCGATTATTTTAAAAACACATGAAATGAGCGTACAGTGTAATAAGATGATTAATATTTAACTCCAATTGAATACAAATTGCTAGCAGTGATTTATTATATAATAAATAAAATAAATAAAGAAAAAGAAAATGTAAAAAATAAATAAAATAAATGAATCTAATAATAATAATAATAATAATAATAATTATAATAATAATAATAATAATAAAAAATTAATATTAAACACGAAGATACACAACAATGCATTCCCTGTCACTTCACAACACTGCACGTCACTGTCCAACGTTTCAACATCCTTCAATGCCATTCACTTCATCCCACTTCACTAAGTTGCTCAGATTTTGTGAGTAAGACCCAATGTTGCTTAATCTCTTTTTATTAAACTAATTCTAAGACTACGGACGTTATGAGGAATGGTCTTTAAAAAGTAGCCTTGAGCCGGTTTCTCCGAATAAAGAGTAAGAGTTTGCTCTGGAGTTTATGTTATCTTGAGAGTAACTTCTTGGAGCGTTTCATCAACACTTTATCCGAGTGTAAATCGCTTACACGAGAGTACATTCGAGGGTAACTTTAAACGAAAATCCATCGGGTAAAGTACGGAGTAAGCTGCGTTTTTAACGTACGTGTGCCTCCGAAGTGTTATGGCCCGTCGATTAGGAATAATAGTATTTGAAGACGAGTCCAGCGATGATTCAAAATATTATCCACTGGTGCGAAGACAAAGGGTGGCAGAGGATGGATTGGTTCCAATTATGACGATCGAGATTATGTCACGAGGTTATGTTCGACCAAATCAGCTGTTAACTCCATCAGATACATTATAAAGTGTAGAGGACTTGTAAGTTTCTTTTTCACCCATGTGGAGACGAAATAAAGGTAGTAAGTACCGTATACGATAACAAAAGGAAAAAAATAATAACTACAGGGACTACTAAGAAATATTTTTTTATTTAGTAAACACTGTTGTGACGTATGGGGGAGAAGATCATCTGTGCACGTTTTCTTGAGTTCCAGAATCCCTTTCCAACATTTTAACTTCAAATAGTTGAAAGATATAAAGTTTAAGAAATGAAACCAACAAAATAATAATAATAATAATAATAATAATAATAATAATAATAATAAAATTTTAAAAACGCGACATCAGGAAAATTTGAAAAACTAAACATTTTCGTTCCCGAGTTATAAAAAAATATTTGCATCGCCATCGGTAAACGAACTGCAAATTTGATTTTTCTGCGTTGCTAACAAAATTGTCTCCAGAGAAGAATTATATAACTAATCTCCCGAGAAGAAGGATTAATATTTATTATGAAGTAAAGATACAAAAACTAAGAAATAAACTATGCTAACTCAAATCACCATAACACCGCACAAGATTATAACGCCAAGATGCCGCCAATATCTCTGAAACTGAAATCAATGATAGAATATAAGAATTAACTAGCGGTTCGCGTAGGTCCGCATTGGATCCCAGCGTCACTCTCGCTCACGGCCTCTTGAATCGCTCTCAAATATATATATATAATGCTTATATAATGTTACTCGAGAGTAACTACCGCAGAGTAATGCTTACCCTCGTGTAACTACTTTCAACTTTACTCGGCTGCTGGTGAAACCGGCCCTTTGAATTCAATTATATACTTCTGTTACCCTTGAAAAATTCCATTTTTTCCATTTTCATTCTATATATTCAGATATCGTTCCATTAATTTAGACACTATTGAGGTGAGGGATAAACAGACACTTTCAATTGATCGCAAATTTTGAAGATCGGTACTTCAGATTATTTCCAGCCTTTCAGCTCACTCGTGTTGTTAGAAGAACACTAGACAACTTTAAGTATGGGAGAATAGCATCTCGTCCAGTTTTAATATCTTCTAAGAAGATATCGTCTGGCCCATACCGGCGAAGGTGGTTCGGAACATCAATTGATGACACTGCGGTGCTTCTGTCTTAGACTTTGTGTCTGAATGGTGTTAGGATTTTCGACCTATCGAGTAAGCCATCATTATTGAGAAACTAAATAACAAAGCATTATTGTAGTCTGAAAAAGACATTTTTATTTATTCAATAAAAATAGTGTCACAACAGACCAAATTCCCGGGACACATCGTGGAGGTAAACAATTTGAAGACAGATGTTTCGTATGAGGTGCGCACGACGGCCAGTCTTTTTGTACCCCACGGAAATGTCAACTGTTTTTTCTGTGGGCGTGAAGCCGGTGCCGTCATCTTCATTTCTAGAAAGTAAGAATTAACAATTTTAAACAATACTCTAAATAATTGTAAGGAGGAATATAATTTACTAAGAAATAAGATTTGTAATGACCTCAGTGCGAGTGTGGTTATTAAGTTGAGAAAATATGACCTCGTTGAGTCGAATAAGCTATCAAGTACGAATTTTACAAAACCCATTGATTCATCTTTACGTTCATATAAGATTATAAGAATTTTATTTGACAAAACGGATTACTCACGATTAGTTACTATATTGCTTAACGTCAGTCGATAAAATAAATGTATAGGGCCTTAATATGTAAATTTGAGTAATTGCAGTACAATGAAATTTTTTGTATGAAAACAAAAGCAACAGAAAAGGAAAATTCTCTTTCATTTTGACGTTATAATTTTTATTGTAATGTTCTTGAATCGTAGGCATTTATTTCGATTAAAAACGAAATGTTAATGTTCTGAAGGTGTCTTAAAAATTCATTAACCCCTTGGACTATAGAGGCAATATTAATATATATTGAAAATCTTGGTAAAAAAAGTATCAAAAATATCTTTATTCAAAAAATATTTAACGTACGAAATTACTATAAATACTTTCCTCTATGGAAGTGAATTTATTTTGCTAAATGATGGAAAGATACAAGATCAGATCAAATTTCTTTGTCCACATAAGAACCACAAAGATAATCAATCGGGCTGTAGCAGACCATGTATTATTAAGTTTTCTTACAGAGAAGGGAATGGAGTTGTTATTGGAGTAGATGGCGCTATTATTTCTACATATATAGTGTCTCCATTTCATTCAGTATTAGTTCAGCTATCAGAGAAGTACCAATTTGAGTTTGTTGAAGCATTTCTATACTGTGGGTTTTAAATTATTCATGAAGAGGCGATATGATATAATAATTCATTCACAAGTGGAATCAAAGAATTTTGGTTAAAATTATTGACAACATATCAAATTTAAGGTATTTCCCATATCTAAATGTGAGTGCTTAAAAAACAATACATCTCCCAGCATAATTTTTCGGACCGTTTAAAAGTGTATTAACTATTCTATTGGCAAGTGAGAAAGAAGAATATAAACTTCTACAAGGATGAGAGGTAACTGCTAGAAAGTACTTACCGTACAAGACATATGGTGTATCAGGCAGTAGGTCGCCCGAAAAGGGCAGAATGCCACTCAGGTAGATCCACCCATCATCACCAGTTCTTGTGGTCATATCACCATCATCTCTTTTCGGGGTTGTCCGACACCGCGTCCCTCCAGCTGCCGCGGCCTCTGGAGGAGACTTGCCCGTTATCACCGTCTTAGTGAGTGCCGATCCGGCGGTGAAGATCACCCGAATAAAAAGTCCAAGGGGTTCCCGACACCCGCGTCGGATTTCACGTCCCCGTCCGCACTGGGAATCATTGGGGGCGGCGGAGGAACTGGCAGCGGGCCTGCTGACATGAACGTCTCTTGTGCATAGTAGGAAATGCAGCCAAATCAAGCCAATAGAGTCAAAACTACAACAGGCATATCAAAATTTAAAAAAAGTTCCCTGAAACGTGTCATAACATGCAATTATTTTTGTACTTTCGCGGGGCTTCCAAACAGCTTTCAAATTAGATTTATTTAAAAAATAACCTTACAAATAACGTCAATAACGTTTTATATATACCTATAAAGCAATAGATCAATACATTGTGCGTTCTAATGTAATATAAAAGGTTCAAAGTTTAACCCCAACCTCGATGTTGCTGAATCTAAATGTTCTCAGTCTCACCTTCACAGTCTTAACTTACCCGTAGTATTCTGATTTAGGGCAAATGTCGATATGAATTGAAAATCCGATATTTTCCTCACGCTATTATCACAGAGCAAAAATGAAATTCAAGCAAATGCAACATTTACTCGACAGGTATTACTCGCGCAACTTTTCTTGAACTATGACCTTGGTTCCCCCTCTCTGGTACAATAATCAGTTGAAGGCAATAGCTCGCAGCGAGCACTGATGACAACATTCCAAACTCATCTTCACTGGCGCGAAATATAATAAAACTATTTTCTGTTGAAGATGAGAACTTCTAGCCGTGATTTTCTCCAAAAAAAAATCGAAAGAAATGACCGAATCAGGTGAAGTTCTATCACTGAAGATACTTCGAACTACTGAGAAAGTTCGAACAATTTTTTGAGAAAGTTGCGAAGGCATGACTGATTTTCCGGAGGTTGGCATTGCTTCATACAATCTAGTGGCTTATTGCGTAACTAATACCCCCACTCTACCCACATTTCTTCAATCCATCGTTCAAGATCTGTTGCGCGTGTAATAACAAAACGTGCTGAATTGGAAAGCCCTTTCTTGACCGTATTGTTGATCACCGCCAACAATTTATTCTCGCTACTATCGCACCTTTCTTGCGGCAAGGGCACACAGTCCGGCGGCCTGGTTCTGGGGCACCGTCAAGCGGCAAGTCGGGAGGAGGCGGCAAATCGGCCTGTGGAAGACTCTCCTTGGAGCCTTCAGAACCCATCACTGGAATAATAATTTTTATATTAAGTGCGTAATCATATGATGGATTATTTGCCTATAAAGATTGAGATGGTTTTTTGCCTCGACATACCGGACTCAATGGTTTCATTTCATTTTTCCCAAATGCGAAACCGGATTCCCGGTTTTGGAAATTTCTCTTTCTTGATAATTAAACTTCCTTCTTCGTCCAGGGGTTCTTTTCAATCCATTTTCCTACATTACTTTCAATATATTCTTCAATAACTCTCAATTCATTAGAATTAAATGTGCAAACAACCTCCACTCAACAGGCGCTTACGCGCAAGTGATTCAATTATTGCACTACATTTTTCCCAACGCCCGTCAAAGCCGTCTTCTCAATATTTATTTTACATCTTTGAAGATTTTAGACGATTGCAGAATAAATATTTTAAGCATCGTACGAAAAGAAGTTTCAAAACATTATTACTTGTTATACATATACATTATTACTTGTTACACTATTTTCAGACACATTGACACTTTCTTTTCTGCAGTATGTCTGAGGATATAACGCAAAATATCGCTGCATCGACGCCTTTGAATCATAATATATAACCTCGCACCAAAGTAAAATTGTAATACAACCTCACACCATTTCCATACTGCTAAGCTTATCTAATTCCGTTTGCAAACAGTTGTGTTAGAGTTACACTACATTGTAATATGAAGAATAAACTCTTTAAAGGGATGATAAGACATTTTGAACAATCACCTTGTTTTAGTACATGAATTTTATGAGATCTGGCATATTAAACTTAATTCTTTTGGAATAGTTTTTATATTAATCACTTGGAAATTATACTTGAATCTGCTGACCCAATAGTGACGAGTGATTTATAAGGAACATACAAAAACAAATGGGACGTTTCGGGTTGTGTTGTGTAATTTATGATCTTTCAAAATTAAGCACAAGTAGCAAAATAATAGACCGCATACTGCGAATATGATCTCAATTAGATGACGATTTATAGAGTTTACTCAGCTTGGGAAAGTGAGGTGAACAAGGAAGAAAGCTATTTAAATTGAATAGCAAAATTCCATAATGGAACTAACTACTGCGATGAGTAACTATATGTCACCTTTAAAGGTTATCGATTAATACACCATAAATCCAGCAAGTCTTTTGTAGTTAAATACTCAATACCAATTTATTTTATCGTAATAAATCTGATATCATGAGATCTCGATAGCTCATTATTAACGCGCTATCCGGTTTGTGTCATAGCGATATTCGCAAATGACTGCAGAGTGACTCAGTGATGGGTTTGCTATACGAGTACTAATCACGGGGGCGGATTATAATGAAATGTAATTTTTTTCTTTTCACTTTGTAACAATACCGTTGAATATAAACATTAATTTTATGTTATGACCAAAGCAAATTACCCCTTTTTATGTGGTATTTTTTTGCATTTTTCGTCGATTTCTTCTAACAAGTCATTTTTTACTCTTTCCCGTAATATTAAAGCGTTTCTTGCTGATTTCATCGATTTTAATATCATTTTAATAGTACTTGCTGCAAATAATATTGACTAGCTACAACAATAATGTTCTCTACAGAACTAATCTGCAGTCGATTTCTTCGCTCCGAAATTTAAATGTCAGCCGTTGTGAGTACGTACTGTAAAGTTTCTGTGACGCCTTCAGCGCCAGTGTCAGTTCGGCCGATTACGGGATAACTACAGACAGAGATTTCCTGCTAAAGAACTGTCTAAACTGAAATTTTGCAAGTTGAGTTCACTTTAATGAAAGGAAAAAGCCTTGATTACATCAGTAACATATCCAATAGCTTGAGTTGTTCATGTTAATTGCTTTTGATCAATTTTTTACGTCATTTTTATTTGCTTTTAGGTCATTTTAAAAACATTTTAAGAGCACATTATTGATCATTTTTGGAGATATGTTAGGCCATCAAAACTCGTCCCCACTAATTACCTACCTCTCGGCAAAACCTGTTGTTCTCAGGCCTGGCCTATGGCGAGACTACGCGCCATTAAAAAAGCATATGTAAAGCAATGTTGACTTGAACACATTTTCACTCAATTTACAACGTCGTCATTGTGGCTTTGCTGACTCACCAATTGCAAGGGACCGACGCACTAGGTTGTCCAGTACGTTGCCCATGAGATCCTGCCTTGAACGGTCCTCTGGTGATACACCTGAAAGCAGAACACTGGGATTCATCGTCAGTCCTTACTCGGATGTAGCAAAGTTTTCTTATTCCAGAAGCAGACCAATGTGGTAATAACTGGCTCATAGAATTTATGGGAATTACGGAAAACGATCAAATTGTGAAATGCCAAATTCTTTTGTGGCATTTCTTGACCTTGACGGTATTCGAGAATGCCCCTTTTAGGACATTACACTATACCTTTCAAGACCGGTTAATTAAGGTTAATTTAATCAAGGGTAGATTCATTAAGAAATTAGACGCTTCGTAAGAACATTTCCTTAAAAATTCATTATAGAAATTTCCTAGGGGTTAATGCATGGAAAGCGTTAACATAACCAGGTGGCTTAGAGTGCTGTGGGGTTTTTTGTTTTTTTATTATTATTATTATTATTATTATTATTATTATTATAATTTAATAGGTAATTATTACAAACAAATTAGCTTACTTGATCGTATGTGGCTAGGCCGAAGGCCTTTAAGCCATTACAATACATACATCGTTTCGCGTTCTAATCTCGTTTTTGTTTTTCACTGAGTAACACTGAAAGTGCGTTCCTTCGTGTTGGCGTTCTGTAGACGTACCCATGGCGATGGACTTGCGCACCAGCTCAGTCAGCACGTCGTCGAACCCTGACGATACTTTGGACGGGGCCACGCTCGGCACCTCGCTAGGCTGCGCGCTGGGCGGTGCGGGCTCCGCGCTAGGAGTCACGCTAGGCACCGCACTAGGAACTGCGCTAGGCACCGCGCTAGGCACCGCGCTAGGAACGTCGCTAGGAACGGCAGGAGGCATTTGTCTGGCGGCCAAGGCGGCAGCGGCATCTACAACGGGCATTTTAGGCACTTAACACATGCAAGAGAATGCACGAGTTGAATGAATGGTTATGTATACTGACAAGGTGACGAAACTTTAGCACCGCCTGCAATTTTTGATCGGGTTAAGATATTGCAATGTAGTTTCCATGGAAGTGCGTGAGGGAATGAAGCTAATTGATGTACATATTTGTTTCCATTTTATCACATGTATTTTACGAGCTATTTTGGCAGTAAATTTGTTTTTTAATGGAACATATTTTTTAGTCTATCATGACGAGCGTAAAATGACGAATGCAATGATGTATTGTCATATGTTAGATAAGCATTTTTTGAGTAATTTTGATTTTTTGTGTGTTTCGTGTTTCACGTATTGTAACGTCCCTAGCGCGCGATAGCAGGGAGAGCGATATTTAAAAAAAATTCGTGTGGTGAAAATTGAAATTACAGAAAAAATGTTTATCCAACATATGACAATATGTATATCATTGGATCAGCCTTTTTACGCTCGTCATGGTAGACTAAAATTGTGAATAGTTCCATGTAAAAGAGATAAAGTTACCACAAAATTTCATAAAATAACAGTGATAAAATGGAAACGAATCATTCCCTCAGGACCTTCCATGAAAACTCCAGTAACTTCAACCGTTCAAAAATTACAGAAGATGCTAAAGTTACCTGACTCATCCTTATTTTGCTAAACAAGTATGAATGATAAGGGAATGAACATGGGAAAGAAAAAATATAACCCATAAAAGAAAACATATTCTAATATTTAAGATTAAAAATTAAAAATAATTATTACCCATATATATGCTTACCAAAGTATATATTTTAAACTGCGTCATTAAAGCAGTTTAATTTTTCTTAGTTAGACAAATCCCTCCCTCTAGCTGCTCAAATCGCAAGGTAGTGGCCCAACTGTATTGTACACGTATATAAAGTCCCACCTTCACAGGGTTACTGTGGAGGGGAAAGAAGAAAAAAGACATGGACCAGAGAAGGGATATCCAACAGACGGTCCCCAGGCCGGATCAGGTCCGCGTGGCAATTTAGTCTGTCTCAGCAAATGAATTCTAAATTTCATATATCCTAAGTACTTGAATTCAAAACAAATACATTAGTAAAAAAATTAATAAATAAAGCAGCCCTGAAATAGAGTTCTCAGGATGAATCGTAAAATTATTCCAACTTCATATACCATCCTGAATAGATTCTCGTTCTCTTGTCTGAATCACGAGTCATCCGAATCAGTTTTATAATATATCATTTAAACGAACCTAACAAAAACTACGAAAGTTGGGGTAAATCCTTATATTATTAAATTTTGACTTCCAAAAAAATATTAGTATTTCTCTTGCATCCTAGTATAATGTATTAAATACACTAGAGCTCAATGTAACTGCGCAAATATTAATGAATGATTTACAATTTTCTTATTCAAGTGCAATTTAGGATAATCGATAGCACGTGGGGAAGACTATTAAGGATAACCGAAAAACAGTAACATAATCTGGCTGACCTTAGATAAGTCATTGAAGAATTTAGGACTCGTGTTAATTAACGTTTTACGCACCTGCATCTGGAGGACACACACAGCGGACTTTCCCAGCCGCTGCGGGCGCCATCTGCCCTTGCTGTTCAGGCGTCGGTTGTTGCTGCAACATCTGCTGGTCCGACGGCATCTGCCGAGCGTCCGGAGGAGGAACCTGGCTTGCTTGAGTTGCCTGCGACATCTCCGACTCTTTCGACGTGGCGTCGAAGGGAGACTTGGCCATCATGATCGACTTATGCATCACGTCCTTCAGGAAGTCTGACACCGGGTCTCCTTCTTGCAGCTCAGGCGGCGGCGGCAGCATGGCGTCTGGTGCTGAAGATGTTCACATTATTAGTACTTTCTCCAATTAGAGAGATGAATAAACATTGTGAGAAATGTGTAAAATAAGATTGTGCGAAGAATTAATGAAGAAAATTGGATCGGAGAAAACATTAACTGGGTCGAATATATATGTATACAAGTACATTAGTACATTAGTCTCAAAGATATCTTTCAAGAAGTCTTAAAAGGTTTTCACAAATCTTTCAGTTTCAGAGTAAATCCTATATAAATTCATAGCGAGTAAAAGCATAGTATGTCTTACATTGATTATAAGGCTTTTGGAATTTGCCGTTAAATATAAAAATCATTTGCCACAATTTTTACACGTGGAAATGAATTGTTTATTCAGTATTATTTTCTTAATATAAAATATGAAATATAAAATAGAAAAATACCTGATATATTCCAAATCAAATGTACGTTTACAATTACGAAGCTAATGATTAAGGGAGGAAATTGTTAATAGTATGATACATTATAAAAGTTTGCTTACAATGTTTTTCTTTTCTCGTATTCAGACGCGTATACAGAGTATTACTAGCGGCATAGAAAGAGCTATATAATGCTGCGAAAGCTATTCGTAGGATTTTTTACCAAAAATGATTTTTCTCCGATCGATCTTCCCCACTGAAAGCCCTTGCGATTTTGAAAACCATCCTTTAAATTTTTGGGTGTACTTACATGAAAACCCTGGTTGATTTTTACATTTTCTTCAAACTTATCCTTTGAATGTCTTATAATAATGAACTGAAATACAGTTGTAAAGATGGCAAAGGTCCGATTTTCACGGTGAACTCTGAAGTTTCGAAAATAACAAAAGTTTGCATTTTTTCGGCATCTTCCTAGAATTACAATATTGAAGATAGGTTTTTTCAAGCGGAATTTTTTACTCGAAATTAGTTCTTTAGTTGTTATTAATACGTTATTTAAAAAAGTATTGGTAGTTTTTGTGTAATATTGAGTGAAATAGAGTGAACGGTTCCACTGTTACGATTTCCGCTGTTAACTGCATTTTGGGCTCAAGTATTGTTTATCATCGGTACACACTAACCTCTTAACACCGACTTGCGTAGAATGTGTGTCAGCACGTCTGCCACGGCATCACCAGGCCGCACAGGCTCCTCTGCGTCTTCCTCAGGAGCTGCGAATGTAGTTCATCTATTAAAACTTCTCCGGATAATATTTCGCCCAATTGGATGAGTGAGTGGATAAGGATACGGCAGATAAATTGTCGTGCCCGGAACGCGGCCCCGTTATTAGAGTACTTCTCAGACACTCGCCTGACCTTTGAACCGGTCTCTTCCTTTTGGATAGGAAACATACATATTTATTTGCTCCTTGATTTGATTTATTGAAAACTATATATGACGTAGGAGGAAAAGCATAATCTTCGCGCGTTTTCTTGAGCTTCAGAATCCCTAACCAACTCTTCCATTCTGCATGTTGTGACTATTTGGAGCTTGATCAGAATCCTTACGTTGCAGCGAACCATTCGGAACATCAGGTCAGCGTGCTACACTATCGCCGTCCCTCGGAACGGACAAGGCCGTCTAGAATATCCCAGACGGCCGTGAATGAACCTTGTTCCATGGCCTGCGGTCGGCACAGGTTTTCCATCGGGCCTCTGGCTGTCCTGTCCTTTGGCTCGACTACCCGATGACCCAGCCTGACGGCCTTGGGATAAGTGGTTCGTGTGGTTAGCACGAAGACACCCCTTAACCGTATATTCGGTCTTCGTAATTTTAGAGTGGGTTTTATCATCAATACGCAGGAGTAGATAATGGAACACCTGTGAGGAAAGCGCAAAGTTTTTATTTGACCCCGGCCGGGAATCGAATTCGGGGTTGCGTCGTGGAAAACAAGCACGCTAACCAATGAGCCACCGAGGGCCTAAAGGCGCCAAGGTTTGTTAAATTAAATATACAAACAACATTTCAGCTATTAGAAGTAAAAAAAAATATTACTGTCTCTGCGTATGTACACTGAATAGAAATTACATGCTTAATATCGAAGAGGAGTCTAATTGTGTTTAGTTGGAAACGTTTTGCCGCAAATAAAAGGAAATAGCACGTAAATAAATACCTTTATCAATCTGTTCTGCTCAATTTCTAGTTTACAAGCGAGAGTTAGTCGCGGTGGACATTGTAAGTCGCTGCCGTGGAAAGCGAGCACGGTAACCAATGAGACATCGGACCTCTGGCTGACGGCCATGAGCTGTGCCTGATTCACCAATCAGGAGGTCGGTGACGCTTTTGGTTTTATAAACTCGAATCGTTCACGACGTCGAGGACACCTAAATCTGGGGGAATTGTTCCTGCACCGTTCAAAGTTTAATGACGAGCTTCAGAGAAAAAAAATGGATGACTTCCAAGTTCTACAAGAAAGAAAATCCTGATATCTTTAGTGGCTTGTGAAACTCGTGGGAACCATTTAATGTTCCTCAACTTTGAGTGTTTACTATCCAATAAAGTGCGAGTGAAAAACCTTAATATCCGCGCTACAAAGGTTGTGGGTTGTGTTCATTATTATTGATTGTGTAAAGTGTAAATTCCCTGTCAAGAAAGATAAATAATGGAAAGGGATAAAAGTCGTCGTTGTGAAATTTAGAGCAAGAAGAATACAAAACGTTGCCAAAGTTGAAGGAAAGTGTATTGAAGCAGGAACGTGTATTAAATATTGTGAGAATTAAAAAAAAAACTACTTTTCTAGGGAGTTGAATATTGAATTTAAATAGTCTTTTGGCGCAACGCGTAAATGCAAGAGGGGATATGTTCAAGGAATAAAGAGCTTGGAAGAGAATTTAAATTTACTGGCGTCCAGGATAAATTCGATTTATATTATTTTCACTCTTTGTGACGTTATTAAGGGTATGAAAGTACCCACAATAATGCATATTATTCCTATTATTAATACTAAATGACTTTTTTGTGTAGTTTTATTTCTTAGGAAAGTCTTCGTATTGAAGTACCACCTCGAAGGCTGCAGAAACCGTGCGTTTTCAGAATGTGTTAGGAATTGATTTTCTTAGTCTGCTTTTGTGCAGTGTATGTAAAGGAACGAAGGAGGCTGACTGCATTCATTAGTGAGTGAATGAATTGGTTCATTTTGGTTTTCCCGTCGTTTTAGCAGTGGAACTTCGAACACACAAAATAATGCTCGCTTTCTCAGCATACTTTTTCGTAATAAGTGAATCACGAGTAACAAATGCTACTGGTTTCAACTCTTGAATAATGAATTAAATTATCAACAAAGCGAGATAGGCGACATTTCAAAACTATAAAATTTCCCACCCGAGTATAAAAAAATTTCTTTTGCATCTGTAAACGAACTACAAATATTATTATAACATACGATAAACCCAACCCCTGGCTCTGCTCCTACAACTGGTAAAAATAGATCACAACAAACGTACGCAATGTGAAGGTTCATTTATGTCCAGAAAAGGGACTATCAATTTCCTTACTAGATCAGGAGAAACTGAACGAAAAACCTGATCGAGACTAGGTGCCGAGTGGTAGGGGTTAGGAGTGAGGGGCAACACAAATTACTCTACTGCGTATTTTTTTCTGCGAGTTTGTTTTCTAATAGAACATTGATTGTGATTATTAATTGAAAAGGAAATCAGTGATTCTTTGGCGTGGTTTTATGAAGTTAAAATACTTTCCAGCCCCGTAGAGATTACTATTAGAAAAGCGTTTTGGAGGGTCATTAAGGAGAATTTTTTCAACTCTTGTTCATTTTACATCACAATTTTACATCACATTTTAATCCATTTCATTTACGCCTGCCTACCAATATTCAATCGGATGCCTGTCCAAAATTCTTATTGTATGCGGCAAAGAACATGCGGTGAAGAATGATGAAAAACTTACGTTGCCACGCAGATCTTGCCATCAAAGTGTCCATGAGCCCATGGATTGCGTCGCGTGGCTCTTCTTCGTCCTGAGGCTGACCGTACTGTGGCAGGGGTAAACCTGCAAAGCAAACCCCAATTACATTATAACAAACTAGCATACCCATGCGAGAAATTTCGCAAGTTCAACACCACCCTCTTCCCTATTCTTCCATTCCCATACTAAATCTTTTTACTTTAAGATTCTTATTCTCTGACACTTGTTCTATATGCCCGTGTAATTCTTGTAACTGAACGTATTTTAACATAACACGCATCCTCATCAATACAAACTATTCTTAATTAGCTTTATTACACAGAGGCACACCCCGTGCAATTCCATCGCACAAAATATTAATTAATTAGTTTAATTTCACATACAGTAGCAGATTCTGCACGTCTCTGAACAGGTGGGGTAGAATGAGCAAAAACGTAATAGAATGTACAAAAAGATCTCATCGCGTAGATTACGGCATGAGAAACGTTTCTTTGAGACCTTCGGTCTCTGTCCTCAAAATTCTAGGTTTTAAGGTATTGAAACGTTTCGTTTCGAAGTTATATGAAGATATATATTTCAACAACGCTGCTCGGGTGTTGAAGGTTGCATTTGGTATGAACATTTAGATTTTTTCTTTTGAAAAAACTTCATTCTTTTGAAGTTGCAGTGTAATTACACACGTTTCCGTGAAAATTTCTTTCTTTAGAGTACTTATTTACAAATATCGGTTGCGTGTGAAAGCCCCAAAACTCATATACACTACTGAAATAATATAGGAGAAGATTTTATCTTTTTTTCTGTCCTTAGATATTAAATGTGTTCTCCTGTCTGAAAATTGCTCTTATGGTGTAAAACGTTCGATTTTGTCCCCATCATATTTTATTTCTAGATTTTTATTTCCAAAGTTGTGATATATTTGTACGAGTAGTACTCTGTATTTCATAGTTAGTAGTATTTGTAGTTTTATCTCCTTTTGCTGTATTTCTAAATTCTTTATTACTACTCAGTATATTCTCGAAAACTTAGGATTTTTCTGATAATTATAGTTATCATTAGGTCAATAACGTAATTCAAATTACTTCAAAGTATTTATATTTATGTTGAATATATATTATTATTATTATTATTATTATTATTATTATTATTATTATTATTATTATTATTTTTATTATTTTTATTTTTATTATTATTATTTTTATTATTATTATTGTACAGCATATTACAAGCCCTCACCCAAAAACTTAAACATATACAGTAATTGTGAACCGTCATTATTATAAACTAAGAGCAATTTTTAAATTTATTTTTCTCCTGTAAACTCATTGAATATAAAAACAAAGTAACGGTTTTTATTTCTACTTCAAGATTTTTTGTCCCTGCGAATTTGATGAAACTGTGATGAATTGATATTACTGTGAACGAGTTTGTCAGCAATACCGCAAGTATTCATTTCAAAAGTTTTCAAAACATTTTTGATGACCAATGTTGAAAAAAGGTATTTTCGGGAGAAATCTAATCGCCACAGGGCATACAAAACACGCTATTTGCATAATGAACGGAAATACAAGAAACGCGAATAAATCGGCGGAAGTTGTTGCCTATACGCGCGTTGAAATTCAGTTTAAGTTCTGCTGAACGATATCCTTTCACAATTGATAACATTACTTCAAAAATTATGTTCTGTATTGTTACCAACAATTCAAAATCAAAGAGAACAAAATGAGAAAATGATTTTCAAAAAGTTGTATTAGATGACTTCTGACTTTTTAGGTGACGTTTTTCGAGAATAATTATTAAATCGGAGGGAAAAATTAACATGATAATATGTTTTTATTTTATAATTTATTATGGTGCGTTTAATATTCAGTATCTAAATAAAAGTGCAAATGAACCAAAACGGATAAATTTAATTTGGATGCCTACATCAAGCATTCTATTTTCCTCGTAACGATTTTCGTCCTAAATTTTCGAATATGGATAAAACATTTATCTCTCAATCAGCATATAGTTTAATAGATTTCAATTAAATGTTTCTGAACACATTTAACTTTTCTTGAGATATAAAAAACATTAGTCAACATTCGAGACATATTCGTTCAGAAATTACTTTTAATTCCATTGTTCTACGAGAATGAATTTAGAAGTTTCTACATTGTCGTGAAAATGAAAACCAAATTTAACACATAATGAACTTACTTAAATCGTCGTCATTATAATAGAAATAAAATAAATCTAGTATTCATTGAGAACAGAATTTACAGAACATTTAACATACCTCCCATCACCGACTGGCGCACCAAAAATTGTAACATATCGTGCACTGCCTCCCTCGGTTTTTCTTCCAAATCTTCGGTTTGCGGTAGCGCTAAAAGAAGGCAGATAAATTCACATTCCTTGTGAGAAGGATCAAACGAATTCCTTGAAAATAGTCTAGAGTTGAAAACATATACCAACGGTATACAAGTGAAACTCACTATGTCCATTTTTCTCGTATACGTATGTGTATAAAGAGCAATGTTACATGCTATACATAGAGAAAGTTAAATAATGCTGCGGAAAAATGATTTCCAGATTTTAACAAAAATGTGGTCCCAAGGTACCGAAAAAGTGGTGGTGTTTATTTAACCATTCGTCTGTCCCGTTTATGAACAACACTAGCGACGAAACTGTGGGATTTTTTCCAAAGTGAATTTTCTTCAGTCGATCTGACACGACTCAAAGCCTTACGATTTTGTAAAGAATTATTTAATGTTGAGTTACCCTTCTGACTTGATGTATCCTTCTGAAATTTATTTTAAAAAATTCTCGATAATGGCTTCTAGTTTCACTTTAAATGCATCGTAATAATAGAGGGAAATACACTTATATAGATGGTGTAGCTCCAATTTTCACTAATTTCATTTTCTAAATTTTCGGAAATTGAAAATATTTTAAATTTCTTAGACTCCTCGTACAACTACGTTATTGAAGACAGAGATTTTTTCCGAATTAAATTGGTTCTCCACAATTAGTTTTCCATTAATATTACGTTCCTTGTATAGCATAAATATTAGCAGATTTCGTGCCGTCGAGAGTGAAATTAACAACAAATTTTTTCACAAAAAAGGTGCAATTTTTTTCTTTCAACTTTTTGTACGGACAATACTAAATGCACTAAATAACATTACAACAGTGCTATTTCGATGGTTTATAACGTATCTCTATTTGAACTTGATGGATGATGGGTTAATTTCTCTCTCGCGTCCAATAAAAAACTCGGAATACTAGGGTATAATACAATTGTAATATACAGTTCAAAGTAATACATAAAATATCCGTTAA